TTATTATTATTATTATTATTATTATTATTATTATTATTATTATTATTATTATTATTATTATTATTATTATTATTATTATTATTATTATTATTATTATTATTATTATTATTATTATTATTATTATTATTATTATTATTATTATTATTATTATTATTATTATTATTATTATTATTATTATTATTATTATTATTATTATTATTATTATTATTATTATTATTATTATTATTATTATTATTATTATTATTATTATTATTATTATTATTATTATTATTATTATTATTATTATTATTATTATTATTATTATTATTATTATTATTATTATTATTATTATTATTATTATTATTATTATTATTATTATTATTATTATTATTATTATTATTATTATTATTATTATTTCTATTATTATTACTATGATTATTACTATTATTATTATTATGATATTTATTATTATCATGATTATTATTATTCTTACTACTAAAATGGTTGTTGTTGTTATTGTTATTAGTTTTGTTTTCGTTATTATCATATTATACAGAGTAATTAAAATTAAAATTATAGAAATAAATATTATAATTATAATTATAATTATAATTATAGAAATAAATATAACTATAAATATAATTACAATTATAATTATAACTATATTTATAACTAGTGTAATACATATAATAATAATTATACCTATTATAATTATGTTTGTAATTATAATTATAATTTTTATAATTATGATTATAATTTAAATTATATTAAAATTATGTATGTGTAATTACATTTATAATTATAGTAATTATAATTGTAATTATAATTTTAGAAATATTCAAATCAGATCAGATCAGAAAGATTCAGATCAGATCAGAAGGATTCAGATCAGATCAGAAACATTCAGATCAGATGAGGAACATTCAGATCAGATCAGGAACATTCAGATCAGATCAGGAACATTCAGATCAGATCAGGAACATTCAGATCAGATCAGGAACATTCAGATCAGATCAGAAAGATTCAGATCAGATCAGAAAGATTCAGATCAGATCAGAAAAATTCAGATCAGATCAGAACTTAAAAAATTCAGATCAGAAACATTCAGATCAGGTGAAGAGAACAGCTTTAGTCAACTCAAAGTATATGTGTAATTTGTTAGTTGCATTCTCTTGGGGGTTTAGGCCTTTTAGTTAGCACTTTACTACCATAATGTTACAATATGAATCATTTGATTATTCATTTAATCAAGTATAGAAATGAAGTGCTTGAACTTGATCTAAATGAATCTAATTATATCGCTTTAGAAATGAGACTTCAACCACTTTTTCTTGAAAACGGGTTGGTATGGAGAAAAACACTTTAATGAAGATATGGAAGAAGACAATGAAGTTATGTCCAAGGACATTTACTTCGTCGCTTAATAAACATTGCTTACTAAGAAGTGTTTATTAAATTTATGTTTACTTCGTAATAATCTTGGGCCTAACTATTATTTTATTTTATTTTTAGAACAACCTGACTATAATAAAACATGTTTACTTCATCAGGCTTGAAAGAAGTCTAGCTTATACAGTATTTACGATGACAAAATTAACCTAAAACATGTTTCCCAAGTGTTTCTTTTTTACCATTATGAATCTATGATGCATGGTGCATCAAGTTCCTTGCAAAGTAATTTAGTAAGATGAAAGCCTTTTAAGGTATTTTTGAATTCTTGTTTAATTTATGAAACTTGAAACAATTAGATTATGAGAAGGTGAATGATTAGGATGTTTTGGACATGCTATTCAAGATGCTAAAGCGAATATAATGACACTATAATTGCTTTGTTTCACATAATGGTAGACTTAACCACTAACTCCTGAATTGTCAAAAATCTTGTTGTAATTATAATTATAAATATAATTGTTGTTACCGTTAATTTTTATAATTAGGATTATCAGTTTTATAAGCACTATCAAATCATTGTATTATGTAGTATTACTACTACTATTATTATTATATTACAAATACCATTAACCTGCATTTGTGTACTAATACTAACATACGCATAACAAAAAAAAATACATTATTAATAATAATTGTGTGCTAATTATATTATCACTGGTAATAATGATAACATATGGTTTTATATATTAATAACTACTATACGTAGTATGACATATGGGTAATGATAGCATTAGTACTATATTTATAATTCATTATTTTGAAAACTACCTACAACCTTTGTTAGTAATATACGGTACGTGAATAATACAATAATACGTACGTTCGTGTATAATACGATACAATTATATAAAATACGGCTTAATATATGTTTCATACGTTCGTGAAATATATAAAGATACGGACGCGTTTTAAACGTTTCACAATTTAAAAATACGGCATATAATATGTGTCTTATATACTTATTTAATGATATAAATAAAGAGTTATTTAACAATTAACATTTGCACCACAATCTTCAACAATTTAAAATGTACGGAATAGTTTTTTTTTTTTCCAGATTTACGGATTTAAATGCATAGGTACAATACGTAATAAAAATGACATTGCCTATTTCAGTAGAAGTGGAGAGATATTACTTTGACCATGAGTTTAGTGAGGCGCCACAACATTTTTCGATCTCTTTGGAGTCTTGGTATGGATGGAGAACAAAAGTAATACAGTAGTAGTACAATAGAAATATCGAAACAGATTACGAATTTAAGAAGCTAATTCATTAAATGTAATGATCGTTAAACAATTAGCGAACATATAAGGCATAACGTTTTTTAAGCAATATAAATAATATTGAGTAGCTTGACATTTTGTTTCAGTTGTATCACTCCATTAGACTTCTGTTTAATGGTGTGTGTTTTTTAATAAAATACGTATCAATACGTACAGTACGTGTATTATACATTTTATCCTTAAAGTACGTGAGTTTTTCAAAATTTTCTGAAAAATTCATAAACAAGAGTATTATACGTAATAAAATACGTATCAATACGTACGGTACGTGTATTATACATTTTATCCTTAAAGTACGTGAATTTTTCAAAAAAAATTGAAAAATTCATAAACGGGAGTATTATACGTAAATTATACGTTCGAGTGTATTATACGCGAATAAACTAACTGAGCCTACAACAATAACTTACGGTTGATACGAATCACATGTACAATAACAGTAATAATAGTGTAATTTTGTCCTACTTATTTTTAAAATTATTTTTAGGTAAAAATTAGACTTCTTTTTACCACAATAATTTTTAAATCTTGCCCTACTTATTGCCTAAACCATACTCTAATATAGACTTATCAATGTGCGATTAATCAGAGCTTCAATCCGAATACTAGTTGCAACTTAACCCACTTAGAGGTTTAATATTTTTATTTGAAAGAGTAGAGCCGTCAAAATGGGCCGGAACCTGCGGGCTGGCCCGTTTAAACCCATTTATTGGTGGGTTAGGGTTGAGAATTTCTGACCCATTTAGTTCGCGGGTTTCGTGGGTCAACCCATGCGGGTTGCGGGTATAAGTGCGTTGACCCACCGGGTTGCGGGTTGGCCCGCGGGCCAAAATATAAAAATATAGTTTTGAATTTTATTATCATAAATATTGTTCTTTTACTATCAATATTATTATAATTACAATTAAAAGATTACAACCATGACAAAACAATATTTGTTTCTATAATAAATAATCAAATAAAATGTTGAAAAGTATATTTTATGTGAAGTTCGATACAATATTTAACAATTAATAGTCATTATTTACAAATAATCAATCAAAAGGTTTGTGTAGATCTTTATTTTTATACAATGAGTATTTTTGTCGCATACCCTCTTATAGTTTTCAAATTCTCGTATAACTAGTATTTAATATTTTTTAATTAAACTTAACAAGTATTGAATTTTTAGTATTTTGATTTCTTATATTTCCTTTGTTATTACTTTTTTTTGGAAAATCCAATCTTTTATTGAACCAAGCGTAATGGCAAAATTTCCTTTGTTACTACTTACTAATATAAATATATACTTCCGGGTAATTATTTTTAAAGTTTTTTTTGTTATATATATATTTTTTACATTGACCCGCGGGCCAACCCGTTTAACCCACGGGTTAGGTGAGTTGGGTTAGGGTTGAAGAAATTATGGCCCGTCATTAAACGGGTTGGCCCGACCCAACCCGCATAAAGCATAACCAGTTACGGGTCGGGTTGGGTCGGCCCGTTTGACAGCTCTAACTAAGAGGTTCAATCTTTTAATTCAATATTTAAAAAGATCTGAAATGTCTCGTTTTATCGAAAAATGAAAAAGTATGCTGTTAATGTACCCTTTTACAGATAACCAGGCATCCAGGCCTGATTAAAATATATAAATCCATGAGGCAGATCCGGAGAGATCCGGAATGATAGAGTGATTAAGCACACTTGTTTTTTCAACTTATTAGCCTTATCAACAAACTTTTTCACCAACGATAAAAAAATCTTTTCACCAAATATGTAACTTTTGATTTCACGTAATTTTAAATTACTTTTTTGATTGAATTGTCTGAACTTATTGTAGATGATTATTTTATCTATTTTTCACATAGTTTTTTTCATAATTCAGCAAAATCACATCCAAATACTGCAACAAGACTTCATAAATTTCAACAAAATCAAACGATTCAACTAATTTCATTGTTATCAAATGAGCCCTAAGAATGTACTAATAATTCTTCGCAACTTTAAGTGACTGCATGTCTGCATCCTTAGATGTGGTAAACTGATTAATAAACGACGCTACAAGCTACGGAGTATCAAGTGCTATAAATTGGGCACAATTCAGAATTGGTAGGAACTTTTCAAGTCGTCAAATCGAATGGAGCCTAGATCCGAATCTTAGTTTCATTATTGCTCTTATAGTTTATTAAGTGCAAATTAATTTTTTATTTATTATTCTCAACATTGCCTTATAGTCACTTCATGCGTCGCACATAAGTGAATATTCAATGATGAGAATTGAGAATAATAATGGTCACAAAGGGATCTGATGGAAAACATACTTAATGATCTTACCTGGTTTTGCTCACCATTTACTTCAATGGAAGCATGAAGCCACACATAACCTGTTTTCCAAAAGACATTTATTTCAATAAAATATAAAACTGTCCAAACTTCGAAGTCAATTATCCATAAGATTCTCTAGGTATAACTACTATCTCAAACTCCAATAAAAAAATGGTTCTGCTCATGTGGAGGCAACACAGTTCAGCTCACTCGTGGCCGGCGGGGGGGACCGTACATTGGATAAGCGGCATAAGGGGTAGAAGTGTACATGCTGGGGTCAGGGCGTACTGCAGGGAAACCATAACCATACCCATATCCGTAACCTCCTCCGTAGAAGTGTCCACCGTAGTATGGACTAGTCCATGGGTTATTGACGACATCAGGTCTTGATTGTCTACTCACTGGATTTCGTCCCCAAGAAAGGCGAACCGTCCGCTTCCCAATCACGAGATCTCTCGTCTTCTCTAGGGCTTCTATAGCGTCATTTCTGCCAAAAACTATGTGTTACTAAATAACTTCAATCCCAAAAAAGAGATAGATAGTTAATGCAGTTCCATAAATGAGACATGAAAATATATAAACCACCTATTAGCAAATTGCACAAATCCACATCCTTTCCCAGCTGGAATTTTCACAGAAACTACTTCACCATACTGCAAGAAAGGCTGCCTAAGATCTTCATCGCCAACATTTGGGTCAAGGCCTCCCACAAATATCTGAGAGGGAAAACCATTAGCCAAAGAAGCATATGTAGGCTAGTGATAACCAAAAATAAAAGAAAGCAGGGTTTGATCACAAACTGTTGTATTAGTAGAATCTCCACCAGATTGTGATCCGCGGGCTGGAGAACCATTTTCATATCCACCTACCACAGCAATTTCAAAAGGTGAGTAATCTATTACAACAGCATTTTACATGTGATACTAAGACTAGGTAAAAGATACAAGTTCTCAACAAATGTATACGCATGACGTTTTTTATAACACAACATACATACTTGGTATAGTTACGCTGAATGCAATTCACTACCACACGTGCACAATCAGTGCATTATTTGTGCTACATGTAGGATGCCTATTAATATCTTGAGTTTAACTTGAACTTGGTTAAATATGGGGAAAATTGAAATCTTGAAACTGCATATATAGCTATGCTGAACACTTCACTACAATCAGTGGCGGAGCCACTCATGTTAAAAGGTGTTCACATGAACACCCAAAATTTTGAAAAACATTTAGGTATATGTGTGTAAATTTGGTATAATTATTTATTACTCTTTAAATTTGTAATTGTAAAAAGGTATTGAACACCCAAAACCTAATTTTCAAATCCGCCACTGACTACAATACGTGTGCAATCAGTGCATTATCTGTGCAACATGTAGGACGCCTACTAATATCTTGACTTTAACTTAGAACTTGATTAAATATGAAAAAAAAACTTGAAATCTTGAAACTGCATATGACTTGAGCTTGAACACAGAAAATCACTACACACGTGTGCAATCAGTGCATTATCCGTGTGCAAAATGTAGGACACCTATTAATATCTTGACTTTTAACTTGAACTTGATTAAATATGAAAAAAATTCTTGAAATCTTGAAACTATATATGACTTGATCTTGAATTTAGACTTGTAACTTGAAGCTTGATTGGAGTCTGAATCACTTCAAATTGAGTTTCGACTTAAAACATGAGACATTCAACTGATTGCACCAGATAAGGTTATGCTACAAATGGGCCAATGGCAGTGCATCATAAGGACAAAATTGAGGGAGTGAATATGGTGTTACACAGTTACATGATGAAAGGACTCATGACTAGAGATGTTAATATGGGCCAGATCGGTCTCAGCACTAACATGCAATAATCTAATACAGAGTAATAACCAAGTACTAATATATGCTTTGATATCTCGATCTTCCAACCATTTATGTCATTAACACAACAAAACACCCCAACGATCTAAATATCTAATGAGTTCATAAATTCCGCCATGAAATCATTTTTTGGTATCATGTCCGTCCCAAGCCAGGATAAAGGAGGAGGGTGCTGTGGTAGGCGCGTGATGGCCAGCAGTATCACTTAGTCACATCACATGACATGAATCGAATAGGAATATCGCTACAGCTAGGTCGTCGCCTGTAAGCGACACGTCATCCCTCTGTCTGGGGGTGGTGTCAAATATGCAACGGCGCGCTACACTTCATAGGCCTAAATGTGGTGATAAGAATGCTAAGACTGCTAGGTCGTCGCCCGAAAGCGACGCGCCACTCCAATGCTCGGGGATGGTGTCAAATATGCAATGGCATGGTGGGGGTTGATGTTGTTTGAAGAAGAGAAGGCAGGGTGCTAGATTGCTTTTTAGGACGTGGAATGTTGGCTCATTTACAGGAAGATCATCTGAGATAACTGAGGTTATGAATAGGAGGAATATTAACATAATGTGCATGCAAGAAACTAAGTGGATTGGAGAAAAGGCACGTGAGATTAATCCTGGAGGTTTTAAGCCGTGGTATTCGGGGAGAGAGGGGAACAGAAATGAAGTAGGCATTATGGTGGCGCATGATTATGTTGAGGGTGTGGTGGAAGTCTTTAGGAAGAACGACCGCATCATGAGCATTAAGTTGATAATAGGAGAAGAGACCGTGGGCGTGGTAAGTGCCTACTCACTTAACAATTTTGGGAGGGTCTTGAGGAACTGGTGCAACGAGTGCCAAGGGGAGAGAAGCTGGTCATAGGATAACAGGCATGTGGGCCTAAGTCGTGATAGTTTTGAGAGTGTCCATGGAGGACATAGCTTCGGAACTAGAAATGAATCAGAAATGAACATTATGGATTTTGTCTCGACATATGAGTTGGCTGAGAGGAACACTTGGTTCAAGAAAAGGGACTCTCACCTTGTGACCTATAGAAATGGAGCTAATAGTACCCAAATTGACTACTTTTTAGTACGGACGACTTGGAGAACTAGCTACACTGATTGTAAGGTTAACTCAGGTGAGAGTGTTGTCACTCAACATAGGATGCTTGTGCTTGATTTAAGGTAAAAAGAGAGAAAACGGGTTAAGGTACAAGGGGAGCCAAAGATCCAGTGGTGGAAGCTCGAGGGGAATCTCCAATAAAGTTTTGCACACAAAATGTTTGAGGAAGATGTATGGTCTATTGATAATGACGCACATGTGGATGATGTGTGGTTATCAATGGAGTCCACCATTAACAAAGTGGCGAAGGAGATACTCGGAGAATCTAAAGGATGTCTGCCACAAAAAATGGCACATCTTAGTGGAATGATAATGCAAAACAAACAATAAAGACCAAAAATGGATGCTATAAGAAATTGGGTAAGAGTTGTAGCAACAAGAACATAGAGGAGTACAAGAAGGCTAGAAGAAAAGCAAAGAAAGCTGTAAAGGAAGCAAGAGGAAAAGTGAACAACGAATTATATGTAAAATTGGACTCTAAAGAAAGAGAAAAAGATATTTACAGACTTGCTCGCCTTCATGACTGTAGGACTCAAAATATCGAAAAAGTTAAGTGTGTGAAAGATGTCGATCAAAGGGTATTAATGGAGGATGAGGAAATAAAAGAGAGGTGGAGGTCATACTTTGGTACCTTGTTCAACGGGAATAAAGTGCAAGGTATTGATGATCTTACTATACCAGTGTATGGTAAATCAGAACTTCGTGAGAAGGATCCAAACAACAGAAGTTAAAGAGGCTCTGAGAAAGATGTGGCGGAAGAAAGCAGAAGAAAGCAGTAGGCCCAAATGGCATACCAATCGAGTCTTGGAGAAGTTTGGGAGATAAAGGCATTAAGTGGCTAACACGTTTCTTCAACCTGGTTTGGAGAAACAACCGAATGGCACTGAATTGACGGAAGAGTATTCTAATTCCCCTATTTAAAAATAAGGGTGATGTACAAGAATGTGCCAACTATCGAGGGATTAAGCTTATGAGTCACATCATAAACTTTGGGAGCAAGTGGTTGAGCAAAGACTTCCGAAAAGTGTGAAAATTTCGGAGAATCAATTTGGTTTTATGCTTAGACGCTCAACAACAGAGGTCATTCACCTTGTTAGACAAGTTGTGGAGGAGTATAGAGACATTATAAAGGATCTTCATTTGGTGTTCATTGACTTAGAAAAGGCATATGATAGTGTACCTCGAGAAGTCCTTTGGTGTGCCTTAACTGGAAAAGGCATATGACTTAAGTATATCAGTATCATCATGGGTATGTATGAAGTTTGTACTACAAGTGTCCGTAATAGTGTAAGGAGGACCGCAGAGTTCCCTATTACTATCGGAGTGCACCAAGGATCGGCTCTGAGTCCTTTCTTATTTGCTATAATCATGGATGAACTTACAAAGTCAATTCAAGACGATATACCATGGTGCATGATGTTTGCTGACGATATTGTATTGGTTGATGAGACACAATCAAGTGTTAAAGCAAAGTTGGAAATATGGCGACAAACTTTGGAGACCAAGGGTTTCAAACTGAGCCGAAGCAAGACTGAATATATGGAGTGCAAGTTTGGTAGAGGTAGAAGTAGTCAAGTAGCAGCAACAGTGGGATTACTCTTGATGGTAAGGAGATACCAGTGTGTGATATGTTTCGTTACTTGGGCTCCACAATCCAAAAGGATGGTGAATTAGATGGGGATGTATCCCATAGAATCAAGAGATGGGTGGATGAAATGGAGGAGTGCATCAGGACTTCTATGCGATCGAAGTATGCTGACTAGACTGAAAGGTAAATTTTATCGAACAAAAATTAGGCCTGCATTAATGTATGGTGTAGAGTGTTGGGCGGTGAAGTAATGTCACATTTAAAAGATGAATGTGGCAAAGATGCGTATGTTTCGATGGATGTGTGGACATACGAAAAAAGACCGCTTGAGGAATGAGATAATTAGACAAAAGGTGAGAGTAACACCTATAGAAGATAAGAGAGGACTTGAGGGGTGGGAAGAAGAGACAGAGAGGAGAGGGAGGGGAAGACCCAAACAGACTTAGATAAGAAGAATCAGAACTGATATGCGTCTTCTTGGGTTGGATGAGAGTATGAATTTAGAGAGAGCAAAGTGGAGGATGCACATTCGTGTGTACGATTGATCTCTTTTCTATCATTCCTCTCAATTTCTTTTATTGTTTATCTTATATATCTCTTATGTTCTTATGTTATTTTTATCTTCTAGTTTTTACGCTCTTTTATCTTTCTTACTACCTCCGTCCCAAAAAAATTTGTCATTTTCACAACATTGACCAACTATATCTTTTTATTGGAAATTATTTATAATATAAAAATTATATGAAAATGTTCTTTGTTAAAAGTACTTTCATAAAAGTATAAAATTTATAATTTTCATAATATTATACTAATCAAAATCATGGTTCAAATTTTTTGAATGGAATTTTATTAATTCAATACCTGAAAGATAGATTAATTATCAATTCAGGACCTGAAAGATGAAACGTATCGGTATAGGACCCGAATGATGGAAAACTATCAATTTAGGACCTAACGTTTCATAGGTTTTGATTTGTTTAGTTTTTTATCAACTCCATTACTAATTTTTGGTAAACTTTTCTTCACAAAAGTTTATTAATTTAATAAAATTAAATAATATTCAAAATTTTTAAAATAAAAAAAAAACATAATTTATGAAAACTTAGGTCCTAAATTGATAGTTTTCAATCATTCAAGTCCTAAATTGATAGTTTTTAATCATTCGGGTACTATATCGATGCATTTCATCTTTCAGATCCCGGATTGATAATTCGTCTATCTTTCGGGTCCTGAATTGATAAAATTCCTTTTTGAATTGGCAAAGTTTTTTGGGACAGAGGTAGTATATTATTATGTTATTGATATCTGATATTTATTTATCTTTATCTTATCTGTTTTATCTTACTTTTTTTTCTCTTTTTTTTTTTTTCTGTCTTCCTCTTTTTAGCATCGATATCGTGGATCCATTCATGTTAGCCAACCCCAAAAGTTTATGGAATTAAGGCTTGAATGTTGTTGTTGTTGTTATGAGTTCATATTTTCCAAGTGTCACAATTGGAGAGAAATCATCATGTCAGGCCGGCCTGACCAGGACAGCCGTCCGGCCGACCCTTTTTGCCAACCTTCCCGGTGGAATTTTTTGATGATTTTTTTTTAAACATGTTCTTCATCAAGTTTAGTTTATCCATACCAAATTTCAGTTAACAATTCAATCGGGAAGGCAGTCAAATAAATTATTTACGAACACTGCGCAGTTAATATATAAACATCGCAGTACATTTCAAAAAATCATTTGATTGTCTTCCCGGTTGAATTTTTAGCTCAAATTTGGTATGGATAAACTAGACTTGATGAAGAACATGCTCAAAAAAATTCATCAAAAAATTCAACCGGGAAGGTGCCCAAACGGGCTCAGCCGGATGGAGGTTCCCGTCAGGCCGGCCTGACAAGAAGACTACTCCACAGTTGAATATCCTCTTAGAAGACATTGGAGTGACCACTATGATATCAATGCTTTCCTGCTCATCTAGTCAAGAATATCAAAGGCATCATATATTTGGGTTTTGGACTTTTGGTGTGAACAAGTGGATGTGCTCATGAGCTAACAAGCTTTGGGCTAACTGCTCCAAATTCATATTTCCTACAATGTTTAGTCTATAATCTAAAAAATTGCACACAAACATCTAAAAAATTCCTAAAATCCAGTCCAACCCCTGTCCTAGGCAGCCTTAGGGCCAGGCTAGAATGGTTTGATGTTAAAAGTACATACACATTCCTTAAAAATCAAGAACCCGAAGACTTCAATGAGGAAGAGAATTTATTTTTGACGCTGAATGTTATCGCCGCCACCAGAGACTACTTATGCAGCTAACTGTAGAAGAGATATATTGATAAAGTGAATAGAAAATGTATGGCTTCACCAGTTTGAACCTAATGATTTGGAGATGGACGATGATTAAAAGTACAGCATAAAGGCATAATTCTGGAGGATAGACTTTTAGACATGTACCCTTCCACAGTTCAATTGGCTGTTGTAATTCTAGGTCATAGCTGTTGCTCCCAAGAGAGATGACCCTTTAATAAATATTGAGGGTAAGAAGAAGAAGAAAATAGGAGTTTTGGTTTGAACTGAGCTATGTGTTCTTCACCTACTAAATTCTTTAAGAAAAAGAAACTAAGTGATGACAAAATGAACAAATATTATGAACCATGAAAGCAAAAAAAAAAAAGAGAGAGAGAGGAAGAAGAAGAAGAAGATCCGCCTTATTTAAATATCAAGCAATGAGAGAGTCAAGTAGATCATCATGCATTAATAGGTAATGAAAATTTTCCAATTGGAGAAGTAAAATGGCCAATTGGAGAAGATACAAGAATTACCTATTCGACTTGTAAGGCAACAGTGAGATATTAGATATTATTGGAATCCTATACTTTATTTAATAATGTTTTTATGAAGGCTTTGTGCAACTCTTAAAGCATGTAGAGAGTTTCTAAAAAATAATGAACAAGTACTCCCTCTGCCCCTATCACCTTTGATGTGATAAATTAATCAAATATGTTAATACTTTTCCTAACATGCCTTCATTAAAAGGCACCCTCTCATTTATCTTCATATTAGGAGAAAGGGTAAATTGAATAGCATATGAAGGGTTTATTGGGAAAAAAACACTTGATGTGCATAGCTTTCATAAATGGATAGATAAAAAAGGACAAGGAAAATTGGTTAACATAGACAAATAAATAATAACTGAAGGGGGGGGGGGGGGTAACACAGCCACCGCCAACAATAACAACAGTACACAATACACATCGTACCTTGCGGAACACGTTGCAGTTGATAACCAGATGATTTTCGAGGAGTGGCTGCAGCAATTCGCATTGGCCTGCTTGAACAATATGCACCGTTCATTTCGGACATGGCATGTGACCTCTCACTATCATCCCCAAACCTTACAAAACCATAACCCTTGGAACGACCGGTATGGGCATCAACCACCACTTTAGCAGCTTTAACAGAGGGGTATTTACTAGAAAATGTATCAAGTAGTAAGGTATCAGTAACATCAGCAGCTAAATCTCCTACAAATATGGAAAGATCGGGCACACTATTTGAATGTTTTTCTCCGGTGCTGCATGAAGCCCAATTCAAACGGAAAAGTTGGTCTGTGTTAGGCATCACAATGCAGCTATATGCTTGCAAGACTTTCTCTGCAGCAGCATGAGAAAGGAATTCTATAAAACCATATCCCTCTGATAAACCTGTCTGTTTGTTTCTGATGACTTTTAAAGAGGCAACCTGTGTATAGGAAATTACTTGAGAAAGGATTGTATTTGCAAGAGATTAACAAGAATATGATCATTCATAAGCAATTCTTTTTTTTTTTAATTCTCAACAGATCAAAAATAAGAAAAGGGAAAGTTCCAGAGGTAACACCTAATGAAATCTCACCGGGTAATTACCTAAAAAAATCCCACAGTATTTTTACTCATAACAGGGCTATTTTAAGAAACATGCATAGTAGAGGTCTCACTGGGTGACCAGAACTACATCTTTATCATGTTAGATTCCTTTTGTAATGTTCTTATTAAACTATAACTACTATACTCTTATGCTGTTTGAGGTCTGCCAGCTTGAACAATATTTTACTTATTATTTTCTTTGTAATGACTAAATATTCATGAAAAAATTGTTTTCCCTTCTTTTAAATGAACCAAAAATGATTCTTTAGCTTAGTACTGTACACAATAACCAATGCCATTAAGCTTCTAATAGAAATTGATGCATACTATAGTTTTCTTTTTGAGAAAAAGAAGAGAACTTTATGACATTAAATATTTCATTTATCTCCACATAGCTCTATATGTTTTTAACTTTCCAAACACAACAACTACAGGATACCAGCTTAAATTTTCAGACATTATATTAGAGTATTAATTAATTGACACTTAGATTCAACCTCAAGCATTACTAATTAACATACATGGATTTAGGAATTAAAACATTTAATTGCTCTGTAACAGTCTAACAGAAGAACCTTTGTAACTAACAGAATGATTAAATATCTATAAGAGTCAAGAAAATGAAAATTACAGTTATACCTCGCGGTTAGAAGCGAAGCAGCTGCGGAGGTAATCCTCGTCCATCCAATGGTGGAGATCACCAACCCAGATCGTTCTGTTCTCGCTATTGGATCCTCCGGGTCGCCTCGCCGGCGAGAATGGCTGGTGGTGGTGATCTTGGTAGAACGGCATGTAATGAGCTGGGTAAGGTGGCGGAATGAAGTGGTGGGGCTGCATTATCATAGCAGGCGGCGGATACTGCACCGGCACCCACGGAACTGCCGCCGCCGCGGCTGCGGCCGCGGCCTGGTCCTTATGCTGCTCCGGCGGCTTTATCTTTACTTCTTCCTTGTTATCCGGTGATTCAGAACCGTTTTTCATTTCTATCTGGCTCCTTCCCTCACACCAACCTGGCGAATTATGCCTTGTAATCCCGTATTAAATAAATTACAAAAAGTAAGAAATTACGGAGTATTATACGGTCTTTATGATTAAATAATGATTATGTTCGGTAAAATTAAACAAGGAAAGCATGTGAGTGTGCGTATTTGAGATAAGAAGTATGGATATAGTATACTGTATACGTATAGCTGACTCTGAAGCAGTTAGAGAGAAGGGGGAAATTGAGGAAAAGAAGGCTACACTGAATCATATAGGATGGATTTATGAGAGAAAAGGACTCTATGATGGCACGATGGCTTTGCTGCCGTTGGATAGGATGGGCGTTGCGCATTCTACAGCCGTTGGATATTCGGTGCTTGCAGGATTTGATGTTTTTTATTTGAACTGTTTTCAATCCCAAATCATGTTAGAAAAAGTAAGGATAATTGAGTATGTTTAAAGAAAAATTATCAAAGAGAGAAAGTGTAAAGATTCTTAAGTACATCTAAAAAATAAAGTGTAACAAACATTAAAACACGAAGAGAGTATCCTACATATATTTATACATATCATTATAGTACCATTCTGTATGATTTTATTTTAATGAAAGGTGGCTTAAATTAATAGATAAGGGCTAAAAAGATAAAGAGACCGCATGCAACCACTGACTTTCGAACTAGACTCAGGGTTAACCATATCAAAAGAAACAATATAACTCGTTGATCCATTTATGAGCGCAATTGAACCAATGACAATAGATGCAAACATCATATAACTCAAATCCAAGCTCAAAGTCTTACAATGCACAAAAATAACAAACTGAAAAAAAAAACAGAATACGCAATCCAAAAAAAAAACATAAAAAATAAAAATAAAAACCTTGTTGTGACTTCCAATTCACATCCCGAACCCGTTCCTTGCATCTGCACCTTCGGCGGGCTTAGATATCTGAGCCCGCCTCCTCCCCCTTTTTTGGCATATCAATAGTCATAGAGTCCTTGGCACCTTGCCTGACCCCTCCTACTCCTAATCATTTCAAATTTTTCTTGTCTTTTGTTCTCCTGACACTTCTTCAGTACTTCCCAAGTCCCCATCCTTAGTCGTGTTATATCTCGTCCCAGTCATAGATTCCTTCCAGCCATGTCTCTCTGAGTCGTCTCCCGTCTTGGAATTCTCTTGAAGAGAGTGACTTTGAGCTGTACTGTTGGATCCCTCCACAAGCCACTTGTTTCCTCCTCTCATACTAGTCCCAAAAGATTTTCCCAATAACAGATTGTCCTCATATGTTAAAGGACAAAATTTATCAAAATGACCGATGATTCCACAAATGAAACACAAATTGGGCAATTTTCATATTTGAAATCAACCCAGCACCCAACTTCAGCTTTCTTAAGAGATGTTCCTTTTTTCAAGGCTTTGCACACATCCATACAAAATGTAACATGCAAATAGGCTTTCCATTTTTCTTCAAACTGATTGTCATCATATTTAACAAAACTGCCAATAAAATTACCAATTCTTCTAGCAGTACCTAGGTTCATCACGCTATAAGGAACATTATGAACTTGAACCCAGAATTATGACTCATTAAGCTCAATTTTGAGTGGAATATCATTTGGTTTGACCTCTTTCAGTATCAACAAGTTCCTTTCAAACAGCCATGGACCACCATCCAAAACATGTTTCATATCGACATTATGATAAAAAGTAAAAAAGATACATTTTCTCGCCAATTTCTTTGATGGACACCCCCTTACCCGATCTCCATAGCGAAGCCATAAGATCCTTGAAAATCTGAAACGTGATTTTCCTATCCGTTAATAGAGTAGGAACCACCGGGAACGTCGGCTGAACCTCCTTCGCTGCAACCTCACTAACCTCTTCCTCATCTAGGTCCAATTTCTCGGTCTCCTCGCCAATAGCCATCTGCTTGTACAGATTAACGATTGATTCCATCCAATTCTCCGCTTCTAGCAACAGTCTGTCGCCCATCCCCGTCGACCTGCCTCCACGATTGCCAATCCAGAAAGCTAAACCGCACCGCCTGAAGCCAAGCACTCCCTCCATCGCCGAACTCTCCTCCGTCTAGCCATATACTTTCCTCCATCGTCAACTCCTCGTCGCGAGAAGGCCGCTCCTCAATTGCGTCTATAGTAGAAATAGGCTCTAGCGGCATGAAGCCCTAGAGAAATTACTAAAGTTTATGCATTCTGTATAATATCTTAAAAGAGGGAAGAGTTTTAGTGAGAACACATCTTAAAATGAGAAGGTTATAATGAGAACTTTAATCGCAACCTTCAACTTAATGTAATCATTGGTGATCAGGGTGACATTTGTCAACCGTTCAAACATATATTTTTGTAGAAACATCTAACATACACGGCCCAAGTTCCATATGAAAGCCAACTTCAACAGATACAAATCATATGAAGACACCATTGCGAGAATCGGAGAGGAGCAAAGTGAAAACAGATGAGGAAGTCAGATAATCGCTATTGAGATTTCAGAATGCGACTTCGACCATTTTGTTCACATCTTTTGATTAGATGATTCAAATACATTTTTATAAGCTACAGTGGATAGAAGACTTCAAATTCGGAAGGGAAAGACACACGTCGTGTGCCTGAAGCACGCACGTCGTGCGCGGAAGAAGAAATTCACGGGATAGCTACTCCCAGTCAGGCACGCCGTGCTTGCCAGGGAGGCACGCCTTGCCTGACCGCGAGATACACATTTGTTTCTCCGGACACACTGGGGGATGCACGCCGTGCGTGGGTGACGTGCGTGCTCTCCTGGTGTCCTTTTTCGGTCAGAATTGCTCTGTTTTTTCTATTTAAACAGCCTGTAAACCCTTGTTTTCAAGGCAGAGCTTAGAGAGAGTGCCTAGAACGAAATTTAGAGAGCTTTTCAATTAGGATTTCTGTGAGTTTTTGTGTTTGTGTGCTTTGTTTTTGCAGCTCCGAATTTCTCCCAAGAGATGATGCGCCGCGGTTTGCGTTGACTCAATTTCATTCTGCACCGAATTAACAACGTCATCAGGGAAGTTTCCATGATCTCTCTATTCACCTTTTTTAAATGTTGACTTGAGTTGAGTTGAGCACGTGTAACCCTTTCCTCTTTACCCCCTTGTGCATAGTGCATGTTTGGTCATCGAGGGCAACGCCAAAGTTCAAGTTTGAGGGAGTGACTTGGGCATTCAGGCAGTAGTTTTTACATGAGATTAATTCTATTAGCATGAGATTAATTCTATTAGCATGCGCATGTGTTAGTTGTATATTCATAAGAAAGTCATGTCAATTTTTTGCAAATTTTTTCTTTAAACCGCGTCTTTATGAGCTGGCTAGAGTTTTGACTATGCTTTTAAAACATCTTTGAAGTGTCTAGACTTAAATTGCTTGCACTAATCTAGTTGTTGAAAGGATGAAGGCATTAGTCACCTATTGGATTCATTTATTTTCCACCCCACTTGAATAATTCCTTTAGGAGAAGCCACTTTGATGAGCTTAACCATTTTGTTTTTTACTCATTAATTGAGCTCCATAGCCAAATGGCCCGTTTCCTTAACCGTGAATAATTCTGATTGAGTCTTGTTGTTTAGAAGACTAAGGGATTAAGTTTAGGGAGTTTTAGTAAGTGTCACTTTTGGCACTGTTCCTATGCCCCAAATGGGGTAAGAGCACTTATAAGGAATTTGATTTTTCGAGGATTGCATTGTAGGCATGGATTCACCCTTATTTAAATTATTAAATAATGAACCATAATTGCTAATTTTCCTTGGTGAGGCCGAGATTAAAATGGGGTAATGTCTAGCAAAAATCTGAAAAATTGAAAATATTTAATTAATACAGTTAGACCTCTTAATTACCTTGCAAAAAGAGAATGTGAGACCTGGTCAAAAAGCGTAAGTGTTTTACACAATAAGTTGAGACTTGGGGATCTTTCGAAAGAAATGGCGTTCTCGTGCCAACATGAGTCACATGACAAGGAAAAAAAAAAACTGAATGAATTGAACTTGAAGGATTTTGCAAAATTTATCTTTAGACTTTCCCGTACTTCAAGTATACGTCAAAGCACCAATTGCAGCGACGATTTAGCTTAGTTGTACACCATGTCTACTCCTTGCATAGGTTTAAATGATAGTTCCTAGTTAGTGTCTTGCTGAACTCCTTGATCCTAAGAATAGCCCCGAAATTCCTGAATGCATTGAGTCTTTGTCAGGTTGTTCCAAACTCTCAAGAAAAGGGTTGTTCATTCTTTTACCATTCACCACCACCTTCACAAGTCCTTCTGATCAGTAGCTAGTTTATTAGTGTATGATGTCATTACCTCGAGGATATTGTGATTAATTTTGTCAATATTTTTAGCTAGAGTTCAAAGAGTTAGTTTAGGAAAGAATTTTCTTGGTTTAGTTGGTCTTTTCAGTGAGTATCCCTTTAACTACCTATGCATGTTGATAATTTTAATGTCGTGTGGTGATTATCGTAAGTCACGTAGTTCAGTTTGTTTGAGGACGACAAACAAAGACTTAACTGTCGAGGAATTGGATAAGTCCGTATTTCGACACACATTTGATGCGTGTTGAGATTGACTTTTAAAGGTGTTATAAATAGTAGTATCATTTTTAGCTCAAGTCATATTTTACCGGACGTTGGTTCATGTTTGCTATTTTTGGAGTCAAAATCAGGGAATTCGGCACCGGCGCTTGAGAATCAATCGAACGAGTCAAGATGCATTAGTGATAGAATCAAAATCTTTGGAAGTCACCGGGATGTTCGCGATGAAGATTTGATGATAAAAAAGCTCTAGGATTGGCTACGCGATCAAAAGAAGACGAGTAGAGCTTGAAAACGGCGACCGGGGTGATGTTCTGTCAATCGTTCAAGCATATCTTTTTGTAGAAACATCTAACGTACACGATTCAAGTTCCATATGATTCAAATCGTATGAAGACACCATTGCGAGAATCGGAGAGAGCAAGGTGAAAACAGATGAGGAAGTCAGATAATCACTATTGAGATTTCAGAATGCGACCTTCGACCATTTTATTCATATCTTTTGATTAGATGATTCAAATACAGTTTTATAAGTTACGGCGGATAGAAGACTTCATTGTCTACATCTTGCATGAAAGAATCATCGTCAAATTCGGAAGAGAAAGACACATGCCGTGCGCCTGAAGTACGCACGTCGTGCGCGGAAGAAGAAAATCACAGGATAGCTACTGCCGGTCAAGCATGCCGTGCCTGACCACAGGACGCGCTTTTCATG